GCTTAAAGAATCTCACACTTAACATTTTCTCTTCTTGTGCCAGGAATTTTCATAGGATGAGAGAGAGGGAGAGATGAAAATGTGATTCTGTGCGATGCCTTCGTTATGAATACTGCGAATTCCTTTACAAGCTAGAGTTTTCAATTTCCGGTTTAGACTCTCTGAGATATCTGTATTTTGAGGCAAATCTTGTAAAGGAAATCCATCACGATGATATGTCGATTGAATATGCCTTGATGTTACATTGAGCTTGAGGAGTCTGAGAAGCAAATCAGGAAAATAAACATAGTGTTTATGTTAAAGATTTTGCAATGTGTGGCATTTACATTCCACTCGAATCGATTCCTCGGATTACTTTTCATTGGTCAACCTAAAATATTTCAATTAATCACAACTGAAATTGAAAGTTGTTTTCTCAGATCGCTTCTGTGTTGTCTTTTTCTCGCCACCATCCAACAAAAACTGGCACATTTGCCGTCACGAAAGTGAATCGACAAAAAATTGCTTACCATTCATGTCGTACTCGCGATGGGGAATCACGTGTGAAACTCTGGTGATCTGGGTTATTGGTGAGTAGCTGTGCTTCCTCAGCATTCCGGCTCTTACCTCGTAGTAGTGGCGCTGGAATTTGTGCACGCAGTGCGCAGCGGTGATGATCTGGAAGAAGGGCAAAAATTGCATTAAAAAATGTTTCCGTCCGGACTCGAACCGGAGGCCTTCCGCGTGTTAGGCGGATGTGATGACCAACTACACCACGGAAACGCGAGATCCATCAGACCCAGTGAATCTCTTTGTGTGCTCACCCAGTGCTCATCGACTATCGTTCCGCCGCACACGAACACGCCATTCTTATAAATCGCCACAATGAATGGCCACGCGAGGTGGTCAGACTCCAGGCCGCCCACGATGCGAGTGGAAGTGCTCTCGAGGGTCCTTTCCCCAGATTCATCATGTCTCATGCCACACTTCAGTGACTCACACTCTACTTGCAGGAGTTTATCGGCGCAGGAGGACGTGAAGGAATCGTCATTAATTGCTGAGGATTTGGCCTCACGCAAAAACGGTCCCGAGAGGGTGAGATTCGAGAAGGTCGTCCGAGGAGTTGAAGACCTCTCGCTCCTCTGGGAACATACTTCGCGCGACCACTGGGAAGCTTCACCGCAAACAGGATACCAGGATCCTTCGTGATTTCTAAGAAGACACAACTCTTAGAATTGGGGTTTTCGGGCTGTTATCAGTTTATACCTGAAGAGGATTCCTCTTGTACTTGAAGAGAATAATTCACTGTAGCTCTGCAGATTTCTGGCCAGAATTCCGCAGTCTCTCTCATCCTTCCCCGTCAGGCAATTGTCCACTCCGTCACACTTATCCTTAATAGTGTAGCAGCGGAAAGATCCTGTATGGCCGTGTCTGCGGAAATCACCAGGAGTGTCGAAACAGGAGAAGGAAAAGGGCTCGCAGCCGAAGCACCCCATTTCATCTTCCCCAAAGGGACAATCCCAATGACCATCGCACATCCTTTCCGCGCTGAGTCTCGTGCGACAGGAGCACATCAACTCGTCGCTGCCATCCAGGCAATCCACTACAGAATCACACCACTTCTCCTGAAAAATGCACTGCTTGTTCGTGCGACAGAAAATTGTGCCAGCTTCGCAACTTGCCTCCTCGAAATGCCTTTCCGTGCCATTTGCTGATGCCGCAAGAGCACTCGGCAAAGTTGCATACAATCGATCCACTGGAGAAGTCTCTGGGAAGACAAAAGGAAGATTTCAGTAAGTGCAATCATCAGGGCCTTGGCACTAATTGCACCTGAATCGTCGAAGGATCTCTGGAAGGGCTTCGGCATGAGAAAGGCACTCTGATAGGGAAGAGCCATTGAGGGCAGAAAAGAGCAATAAACCACTTGATTCCTATTCACAGCCAATCTGTCGAGATCAAGGATTGAGAATCGTAAAGAAAAGCCCCTCGATGGATAATTCACGCTCATTTAAAGCCATATTTACCCATTTCGCGCCGTGTCAGCACTTCTGGCGTCCGAAGTGCGTGGCTTTACGCCGTAATATTGACCATAATTAATTGGTGACGCTCCCCACTGACCCGATGCCTGTGCGGGCTGCGTTGGGATGAAGCAGAAGGACTGGAGACCCATGCTCGAGGCTACCGAGGGAAGACAGTTGGTGATTTTTCTTAATTCCCCTTCATTAGCAATTCTTTATGAGTTATGCTATCACAGGCGGAAATTAGGATAATTAGCAATATATTTCCCACTGAGATTCCGTCTCATCGCATATTTCATCTTACACAATTATTCCCCCAGAGACGCACATCCCAAGGAAGACGTCTATAAGAGTGAAATTGGAAAAATATGATTTTAACCTTGGGGAAAAACTACTACTTTTGATGTTGGAAAAATCTATTTAAACTTGTAAATTGCATAGAAAAGTTTTCTCTTGCTTCACTTTTGAATACATTTACTCAAACTTCTATAATTTCATAACGTTAAAGACGTAATCTACAGTTCTGCGCAAAAAATGCATGACTTTGCAAAGAGAATCTCCAAGATTGAAAATTATTTCTAGTGAATACGTCTTATCGAAAAATAAATTAGCGCCAACAATTCATACTCATTGAACACGGATATTTAGATTTCAGTTGATTTAGCAAAATGCAGCAATATTTCTGGGTCCTAACTGTAAAATCCAATTATTGTGATATGCTGAGAATCTCAGGAACTCACCTGGATTGATGACGACTTGGGACGTGGCCTTGGAAGCCTCTCCAGTGACGGGAACACCGAATGATTGTGGGTGCGCGTTGGAGGAGGGCTGGAGGGGCCAGAAGTGGGCGAAAGTGGGCGCAATCGGGGTGTTCTGGGGTCGATTGTCTGCCGGCTTGAGTGGCACCACGGGAGCGGGGGTTTTCTGTCGCATGTAGTCCTCGCACAGGGAGAAGAAGGGTCCACTGGCGGCCTGATCGAATTGCATGGACTTCCTCCATGCCTTCACGCTCTCGTCATGGGTCCGGAAGCTCACCTCGTCGTGGGCGCTCTTCAGGGGCTTCTCGCCCGGGATGAGCTTCCGCATGAGTGACACCCTGTCGAAGGGGTTGCTGTCGCCCAAATCCTCATGGAATTTCACACGTGGCACATCGACTTTCGCCGAGAAACCACTGAAGCGCGCCACAATCGGATCTTCAGCCTCTTCATTCTCTTTACCTACAATTGCCACTTTGGGCACCTCCGAGGATGTGCTCAGATGATTCTCCGTCGCCTCATCTGACGATGGAGTTGTAGATGGATTTCCTCGACGCGTCGAGGCGTCTGTGGTGTGATTTGGATTCACGACATTCTTCACGTCGATTTTCGTGGCATTCGAATACACGTTAACGTTGGCCTCCTTCACCGGATTCTTCTCTTCGCGCACTTCCTGCACCCATTTATTCATCGTCACGTACTTGTCATCAATGTCTCTCACGATGTCTAGCAATTTCTCGTAGATCTTCTTGCACGTCTCACCCTCGGATGCCTTCTTGCAGCGCAAATATTCGTCTCTGATTGTCCGAAAGCGCTCATCAGCACGTCTCTTGTGGACTCTGTCCGTGTCTCTGCGCCGGGATCTCCCGAGAAGAGCATCCACGTCCCTTTTCATGAGCTTTCCACCCTTTTTCCCGGCATTCTGCTCACTCTGTGCCACGTTGGGCACTGCACAAGCTTCGCTGGAGTGAGTCTGCAATGCAAAGATGATTAAAGGAACGCTGAAGTTGGGATTTAAAATTGAGGAATCCCACTCACAATTTCCTCGAAATTTCTCCAGTGGCTCTTGAATGTGGACACAAGTTCCTCCACACTCCTACGAAGGCTTCCCAGCACATCACAATGGGAAGGACTCTCAGCACTTCGCACGACAATGGTTTTCCCCGGAAACACGACGATGGCCAAAATCACGCCAACACAGAGAATCACACACAGAGAAGCACTCAAGAGGAGGATTTGGCCCAATGTTCGCTCCGTTCTGCACCGCAAATCCTCCTGAGATGCCTCACAAGTGCCTGTGAAGGAGAAAGGGCAATGTTAGGGATGGATTTTCACCCACTTGAGACTTTTTCCTCCTCACTCAACACACTTTTCTCCATTTTCGCCTGGATTTCACTTGGTGCGACACGACAGAACTGGATTGATTTGTGTGTGGAAAAGTTACCATTCCAGCCGCTTCAGGAAGTTTTTGCACAGTCATTGGAAAAAAGACGCACCTCAGCGCTAGCAAAGTGGAAAGTCCTCATGATTGAGGGAAATAATTGGGTCAATTTGTCGTTCGGTCAAATGCATGAAGAAGTGGAAAAATGCATAAAATGGATAAAGTGTGTTGATTGATTTAAATGTGAATCGTCTTCAGGGGAAAGTTTTTATTATATTGAAGAAATTCCAGTCATTTAACTCTTTTTTCTTGGGAATTCTTGAGCTCAACTTCTTTCAAAGTTCACCTTCCTTTCCAAGAGAATTTTTGCAGGATTGAAGTGATGGAAATGCACTTGTTAATTATTACTAAGCACTCGCCAAGGCGGCAAGAATGGAACTTTATGTATTTCTCAGTTCCAGAGTTCCAGAATTTAAGTGAATTTTCTATGAACTTAAACTTTTGAACGTTTAAACATGAAGTCCTTGATACTTCCTTGTTTTTTTTTTTTTTTTAACATTTTTATATGTTTCTGGGCAAGGATTCAAGTAAGATATGTACCTTGAAATATCAGACTAAATTTGGCCCATTAATATAAATGCCATAAAGATTTCTTTTCATGGCAAGAGCCGGAAAACCCTATTATTTTCAGATTTTTGCTATATATCATAGTTTTAAAAGCCAATATTGAGGAAAATTTTAGAGAGAAAAGTTCAATTTTGAGCTGAAATTTCCCGCACTTTCTCTAACACTTTTACTTTAAGTGCAGCTGAATTGTGAGCACAGACATCAGCAGAAATGCGGTTTGCTGGGTTGTTTTGCGCAGTTTGACAGCCTCGCCGTAAACAATCGTTTCAGTGTGTTTCGTTTTTCACGTTTTCACGGAAAACACCGTGAGGATCTTCCCAGAACTGATCGGATTTCTCCAAGCGAGCCACAATGATTCGTCGCAGAGGATATGATGATGAGGATATGCCTGGTAAGTCCCTGCAATTAAGTTTTTCTGCTTCTCAAGTGACATAACCTATAATAATGGTTTGCGGTGCTGGGCAAATTGGTTTTTTCAGAGCGGGGCCGCAAACGCCGCCGCATGTCGGAGTCCCAGGAGGTGGAGGATCGCCTCGAGAGTCTCATAATTCGTGTGGGAGAGAAGAGTACCTCGTCCCTGGAGTCGAATCTGGAGGGTTTGGTGTCGGTGCTCGAGGCGGATTTGGGAGCTTTCCGGGCACGAATTCTCCGCATTCTCTCAGATTGTGCCATCCGGATGCCGGAGAAGTGCACAATCTACACGACTCTGGTGGGACTGCTGAATGCCAAGAACTATAATTTTGGCGGAGAACTGGTGGACTTCATCGTGAAGACATTCAAGTCCAGCCTGAAGATGTGTCGCTGGGATGCTGCGCGATATTCCTTGAGATTCTTGGCGGATCTGGTGAACTGTCACGTCATATCAGCCACTTCGCTTCTGCAGCTGCTGGACAATATGGTGGACGTGTCCAATGAGGACACTGTGCCTCAAGTGAGGCGGGATTGGTACGTTTTTGCCGTGCTTTCGACGCTCCCGTGGGTCGGCAGGGATCTGTACGAGAAGAAGGAGTCCGCTCTGGAGAGTCTACTGGTGAAGATTGAAGTATTTTTAAACAAGAGGACGAAGAAACACCACAATTGCTTGAGAGTTTGGTCAGTGGATGCTCCGCATCCGCAAGAGGAGTATCTGGACTGCTTGTGGGCGCAGATCCGCAAACTGAGGCAGGACAATTGGGCCGAGAAGCACATTCCTCGCCCATATCTGGCCTTTGATTCCATCCTATGCGAAGCCTTGCAGCACAATTTGCCGGTGATTAATCCGCCGTCGCATCAGGAGAGCAATGTTTACCCAATGCCGTGGGTCGTTTACCGGATGTTTGACTACACAGACTGTCCGGATGGACCCATCTTGCCCGGAGCTCACTCCATTGAGCGCTTCCTGATTGAGGAGCACCTCCATCACATCATCGAGACTAACCATGTGGAAAGGAAGGACTGCGCTGCGCATCTGCTCAACTTCCCGTATAAAAGTAAGATTCCGCTCGAGTACTGCATTGTGGAGGTGATCTTCGCGGAACTCTTCCACATGCCCACTCCGCGATACCTCGACATCTGCTACGGATCCATCCTCATTGAGCTGTGCAAGCTGCAGCCGGCCACGATGCCTCAAGTCCTGGCTCAGGCCACGGAGATCCTCTTCATGCGCATCGACTCGATGAACACTTCATGCTTCGACAGATTCGTCAACTGGTTCTCATATCATCTCAGCAACTTTCAGTTCCGCTGGTCCTGGGACGACTGGGACAGCTGCCTACTGCTGGAATCCGAGCATCCGAGGCCGAAGTTCATCCAGGAGGTGTTGCACAAGTGCCTGCGTCTCTCCTATCATCAGATGATCAAGGAAATGATGCCCGAAACCTACGCGCGCCTGCTTCCCGTGGCGCCAGAGCCGATCTACAAGTACTCCTCTGAGGGCGCTGCGGCGCTGCCAGGCACCCAGACTGCCCATCAGCTCGTTGTGGCCATTCGCCAAAAGTGCACTCCCGAGGAGGTGGTTGAAGTGCTGCGAGATCTGCCGAATCCCGATGAAAACGCGGGCGATGGCGGCGATTTCAATCCCCTGAAGATTGATGTGTTCGTGCAGACGCTGCTGAATCTTGGCTCCAAGAGCTTTAGTCACAGCTTCGCCGCCATCTCGAAGTTCCATCAAGTGTTCAAAGCGCTGGCGGAGACTGAAGAGGCACAGATATGCATTCTCCATAATCTGTTCGAACTGTGGAAGAACCATGAGCAGATGATGTGCGTGCTGGTGGAGAAGCTGCTGAAGCTACAAATTGTCGACTGTTCGGCCGTGGCGACGTGGATCTTCTCCAAGGAAATGACCGGAGAGTTCACGAAAATGTATCTGTGGGAGATTCTCCACTTGACCATCAAGAAAATGAACAAGCACGTAATCAAGCTGGGCACGGAACTCACGGAGGCCAAGGACAGGCTGGCCGGTGAGGAGTCATCATCGAGTGACTCCGAGGAGGAAAGTGCGGCGAAGAAGAAGAAAATCGAAATAGCGGACAAGCCGACAGAGGAAATGGTGGAACGCATGGAGGAGAAACTCGAGGCGGCGAATGTGGATCAGAAGAAACTCTTCCTGATCGTCTTCCAGCGCTTCATCATGATCCTGTCTGAGCACCTGGTGCGTTGCGACACAGACGGCAGAGACTACGACACTGACTGGTATCGCTGGACAATCGGAAGACTGCAGCAAGTCTTCCTCATGCACCATGAGCAAGTGCAAAAGTACAGCAGCACTCTCGAGTCGCTGCTCTTCACATCAGACTTGGATAACCACATTCTGGACGTTTTCCATCAATTCAATGCCCTTACGGCGTAAATTGTACATTAAATGACAATGTATTGGAGTTCTCAACAATTTAACTATAGAAATAAACACATTTTGAAATGATTGAGAAAAATTAGTCTTTCTCTTAAGGGAAACTCTTAAGTTAAAAGATTACCTGAAGCTCCTGGTTTTGAATGGTCGAAATCACAAAAAAAATATTAACATAAATGAAGTAAAACAGCAATTTTCAATGACTAGATACATGATTTTTTATTTATATATCCTGCCAGCAATTTTGAGAGCATTCTGCAAGCAGTTGTAGAGAAGTAAGTACCTTAAAAGTATTATTTATAGAGTAAGTATTCTTCTTTCAGAGAGAGGAAAAAACATCCTTTGTCACTCCGTAATTCACTTCTCACTCTTCTCACATGTTCTGCAATTAAACTGTTCATTTCTTCTAGCTTTCCCGCAGATTTGAAAAGGATTTTCCTCTCTCCGAAAAATATTTACAGAACATAAAAATGCCATAAGGATTAATTCTCTTTACCTCCATTTTTCCTATACTGATTTTCCTTTACTAGTCCATTTTCCTTTTAGTGTTTTATCCTCAATATATGTACATAAAAATCACTGAATATGTGATTAAAGAGGGGAATCGTTCTTCTAAATATTTCTGTTCTTTTTTCTGTTTGGATCTTTCCTCAATCTTTTTCTCATCTCTCACCTTTTATTAACTTAAATTAATATTCGTATGAATGACACAACTTGGCACAATCACCCGGCAATTCATCAATTTGTTCGTTTCTCTCGATCTTTTTCATCGAAAAAAAATAATAATAATAGTTAATATAAATACACAATTCATTAAATACAATAAAGTTAAATACTCGAGTGTGCATAGATTTTCTCATCTTCTTCTCCATTGAAAAATGTGACTTTGTGTAGCAAATCAAAGACGTGCGCGCAATAAATCAAAAGTAAATTGGGTAAAATTAGTCTAAAAAAAAATTCCCACAAAACAATAATTAAACTACCACAAAAAAGCAATAAATTAGTGAATTTTTGGATTGATTTCACGATCTAAAAATTTACAATAAATTAGTATTGTATTCCCTTTTTCATTGTCATACCTTTAAAAAATTGTTCCTTTTTTTCTTCTGCGAAAGATCTTCAAATATTCTTTATATGTCTAATTTTTTACTACATGAATTTCTCTCACTTCTGTGTTCATCTTTTTATGCATGATCATTAAAATGCTATTTTATGCTCTTATGCATCTAAACTACTTGCATTTCTGTTCTATGGACCTCTTGTCATTATTCTTTGAAATCTTTTTTTTTCTTTTAGGTCAATTTCCTCGTCGATTTTCATTTCATACTTCTTTTGATTCGATTTCTTTCTTCTTCTTTTTTGATAAGTGATTCATTTTTCTAAGTTTTCCTCGTCGAAAGCAAAGGCACAGCGCAGATTTTATCTTAACGCTGTACGTCTTCTTTCGCAAAGAATGGCAGTGTTTATAGAGAGAGTGTGATTCTTTACTTAGTGTTTGAAAATCGGTGGTCTTGTGATTTTCCCCTCCAGAGAGAAATAAAAAATCATTAAAATTTTGTCCATAGATTTTAGCAGAGAGAATAAAGCTTTTACCATAAAATCCAAGCATAAATAATTAAATAAACTTTTACATTGTAATTATTTAAAGATAATTTAGCTTTTTCTTGTTTTTGTAAATTGTTCTCTTGTAATGTATTTGTTAGATACTTTATATGTGTGCAATTATGCTTTTCACCCCATCATCATTATCATCAATTTTGTAGTACCTAAAATACTACCCTTTATGAGTTGAATTGTATCAGAGATAGAAACTTACAGTAATCCTCTTTCTTTCCGCTTCTTAATTTTTTTTCCTCTTTTTGATTTCCCACCAATGCCTAATCACGTTTTTTATCCTCCACGTTTTCCTCCCTTCACTTCTTGGATCAATCGAACAACGATGCAATGAGATCGTCACTGTTGGCATTGTTGCTGGAGCCACTGGACGGTGGTGTGTTGAGATCCTTTGTCGGATGGTCCAGATAAGACAGTAACTCCATTGCATCGATGTTGCTGTCCGACAGAAGTTGCAACTGTAACAGATAAACACAATCAGTAAATCCCTGAAATCCACTTAATAAACTAACCACACTCACATTCAAGTCAGGATTGGCCTCGCCATCGATCACCGCCTGCAAGACGCCCTGCTTGAAGTCCGGCGTGGAGAAACTCGGATCCGGAAGGACTCCGCCGCCGCCACCAGTGGCTGCTCCCTCCGTCTCGACGCCCTTTCGCGCGCCCTGCATCGTGGAATGCTGCTGCGACTGTTGTGCACTGCCCGGCCGATTCGGCGGCACTTTCGTGGGCGTCATCTCGCCACTGTTGTTGTGCTGCGACGATCCCGGCGTCAGTGGACATGTAATACTTCCTGGTGTCGGTGGCATCTTCTCATTCAGCGACTTCTCCATGGCATCCAGCGGATCCAGCGAGTTCACAGAGTCCGTCAACTTGGCCAAGGGATTATTATTATTCCCCTGGCTGCCTGTCGCTCCGCCCAAATCACTGTTCAAATACAAATTCCCAGCTGAATCACTCAATCCTCCTCCTCCACTACCATAGAAAATGTCAAACGGACTTCTACGCAAGAACATAATAAAAGAATACAAAGAAAACGGCAAATTATAAAACAGAAAACAAAATTCAATCAAAAGATGAAAGACTCACTTGTTGGCCGAAGCATTTCCACCGCCGCCACTGGTCATCATGCTGCCACTGGCGATGGTGTTCATGTCAGGACACATGTAAGGACTCATGGCCTGAGTGTTGTCCCAGGTGGGCAGAATCGTCGAACCTGGACTCATCACTTTGCTGTTCATCTGCTTGTTCTCAGCATCATTTTCCGGCTAAAAGAACGAACAAGAAAATACAATAAGATCGATGGAAATAGAGATTTTGATCAATTCTCACCTTAGTTATGGCCACATTCTTCCTCACCGCCTTCCAATTGGCTACACTATCGATGATGACCTCGTCAACATCCTGCGTGCTCAGCGAATTGAGAATCGCCCACATATATTGGTCGACCTCTAGCGTCTCTGTCAGAGCGGATTTGCTAAAAAGAATCCAGTGAAGAGTCAGTCAAGGAAAGGAACATTGATTAATTTCAGCGACTCACTTGCAAATTGGGCATCTCCAGTTGCCCCTCTCACAATTGATCTGCAGATAGGACTCCAGGTCGAAGCAGGTGAGATGTCGACACTCCTGACCGCGCGCAGGCAAGGAGATTTTCTTAAATGTAATCGGACACTTTAGTGTCACAGTTTGCGAGGGATTCTCCGCTGAATCTGCGCCGGCAGGATTGGTTGCATCGCCATCCGGAGGCCGATTTGTTGCTACCAATTGCTGGAAGTGGCACTTGATCTTATTGATGCCGTGCTCAGCTGCCAGCAGATTCCTCCTCAGCAGTCCCTGGAGAACATGCCTGATGGATGGCCGATGAACGAGTTGCAGGACAAAGAGGTGACTCTGCAGGGAGAATAGAGTTTAGAACTATTCCAACACGCCATCTTCTCTCTTACTGAATACTTACACAGCAGCAGGCGCTCACGGTGATCTGAATAGTGTTTCTCCCTGGCTGACAGACGGACTTCAGATATAACGGCCTGTGTGACATCTTCGGCTCTCCACGATCGATAATCAGGGGAATTGCATTTGCGGACACCTGCACCGAAGCCGGCCAATTGGTGTTCATCTGCTGATCATCATGGTGGAAGCACTTGAGCTGCAGCTCAAGATCCGCTCGGCTCATCAGCGTCCCATAGACATTGGGCTTCAATTGGAACACATGATTGCTCACGGCCAAATTGTGCTCCAAACGGAAGGGCTGAAGAATTATGCCATCTCTCACCGGAAAAGTTAATCGCATTTCATCATCTGTGACACGAAAAGCGGAGAAAAAATGTGACAGAAACAACATGAAAAAAGTGTTACATTTTCACATTAAATGAACAATCGTATTAGTATGAGTGCATGTTTTTCTTCCCCACTCTCAGTCAGAGCTCATGAGTAAAATAGCCAAAGCAAATATTGGCTGAAATGATGAAAAAAAAAAAATGTGTCAATTGTGCAGATTTTTTTCCTACTATTTTCGCCTTGACTCCCTCTCTTTCTCTCTCACTCTCTCTGCACACCACAAAGCAACACGCATTGTCCAGTTAATGAAATGCACGTATAAACATACATGTTTTTAAAACTGACTTCCCAGAAACACTTCTTCCATTTTGCAATTTCCACCGATAAAACTTATCAATTTCGCCCCACAAGATATTACAACTCAAAACACTTTATGCAATTTAAGGCGTCACTCATTCGCTTCATTCCATTTGTTCGCCCATAAAGATGAAGAGAATGAAAGAAAACAGGCACGCAAAGCGTCTCTTTATCAAAATGATCATTAAATTTGCATTTGAACTTCTCACACAAATTCAAATGAACCTTCATCGAATGATAAGCGATTTTTCAAGAGTAATTTTGACAGAAAAACCATGTATAAATGATTTATGAAGTGATCGTGGAGTCTTCGATTACTCACTGTGACTGATCGGTGGCTTCACGTCGGGATTCGGGCTGATGTAGGGCGTCATGAGGGCGGCTGGCGTCAGCGGCGGCGTGGGATTACCCGGCACAGGGCTGTGTTGATACCCAAGTCGCACCTCAGGCTGTAGATTCTGCTGGAAGTTCGGCGCACTAGCATTCGGCACTGGCGTTCCGCCGGCCGGATTCGAGTACTGCGGACTCCCGGTGCCGCCAGGACCGTGATTATACGGTGGTGAGGCGTAAGGAATGGCGCTGGAGAGCCTCTGGCCCTGCTGCTGTCCCATCATGGCGCTGCGCCCATAATTGCCATGCATGGGACCTCGCACGTAGCCTTGCTGCTGTTGCAGTGGCGCAAAGTGCTGCGTTGGCTGGGCCTGTTGCTGGGCAAACTGCTGCATTTGCCCCATAGGAACATTCTGCTGGGCCATGGCTGGATACATGGCAGCGCGCTTCTGCGAGGCGTGCATCATGGGCGACGGATAAGGTGCCATTCGGCGCGACTGATGATACCCATTGGCCATGCCCTGCATCTTCGCCATGGGATTCATGTCCACCATCTGAGACATTTGCTGCATCACATTCGGTCCCACCATCTGACTCTGAGCCATGGACTGTCCCATTGGCATCTGATTCATCGGCATCATCTGCAAGAACACACATCGCATTAGCCAGGTCAATTTTCCCAGCATCAGCTGCTCTCCTCACCTCCTGCTTCACAGGACTGTAGTTGAGCTCCATCTGGTTCATTTGCTGCATTCCATGCGGCATATTTGATCCTCCGGCACCCATAAACTGACCCCCTCCCGCAGTCCCCACAAAACCGCCCATACTCCCGTACTGATCCCGCCCTGGCATCATCATGCTCCCGCCCTGACCGCCATACCCGGGCCCGTAAGAGCCCATCATCTGCCCCTGCGGATTGTACATGCCCTGTTGCTGCTGCTGCTGTTGCTGCTGTTGCTGCTGATTCTGGTGCGCGAACTGGTGCATGTGGTGTTCGTCCATCATGCCCGCACTCTGCGGCGCAAACTGCTGCGCCGCCATCTGCCCCTGAAACTGCTGCCCATAGGGATTCCCCGGCTGCTGATACCCCATCGAAGCGTCCCCGTAATTCCTCGCCGGCGGCAACTGATCCTTGGCCATTGTCGCCTCCGTTGCGGCGCCCAGTTGAGAATTCATACCGTGAATTGCTTAACGTTCTGAAATGGAATCACAATCATCCATCAGTCACCCTTTCCTCTCCTCCTTTCGCCACATCTCCCTCTCTCTTTCTCCCTCGCTTACCATAAATATTGCGTGAAAATTCGTGCCATGAGATTTTTATTGGTTCTTACTCTCTCCGTTCCTATTTCATGATCATTTCTCACACATGAGAAAAAAATCTTTGTGACTCTCTGAAAAAGTGTACAAGGAAAATTCTTTTATACCCAAATATAATATACACTCAGAAGATCGTATATTTTTCTATTTGTGGCCACAAACCGACCTCCCGCACTCGAAATTGAACCACACTGGCAAGAGCAAGACTTCAGTGAAAACACCATTTAAAAAACGCGGAAATTTTAAGGGGCGTCGCATTCTAGTGCATTTCCATACTGTGGCATTGTACAGTGTGTCCCATTCACAGTGCAAACTAGAACAGCAGTTGTTCTAAAGTGGTTCTAAAACTGTAAATTCTCTATTGAGTGTTTTCATTAGGTCAACATTCGCGAATAATTTTTATTTTGACAGGAATTTTGACACGAAAGAATTTTAATAGTGAATTTGCTTATATCCAAGGTGTTTTAAGAACTTTATTTTTGAGAATTTTGTCTTAAGGAAATGTGTAAAAGTACCAAAATTGCACAAAATTAATGTGTTAAAAAATAACATCAAAAAATGATTGATTTGCCTCTCGAATGGGTCACACTGCGTTTTTTCTTCACTTCCCTCGCAAAGATATGCCTTTGGCGAGTGCAACGAGCGACATCCTTTTATCAGCAGAAATCTCATGCGAAAATGTACTCACTGTGAAGCTGAGACACTCCCTGGCCAGATGATCGCGAGAACTGCACTCGGAGGCTGAGGGTGGCCTCGAGAGGCTGTGACATCACCGCTGATCCCAGAGACAGTCTCTTCTGCCTTAGTGCAAATCTCCCTCAATCGATCGATCCGTCCGGAGGAGGGAGACTCACAGAACCACTCACTTTTCGCCCCCTTCGCGTGACTTCCTCACGCTCTTCCACACCTCCCCACCTGGCAAGGAGCACAGGCTGCTCGCCAGATGGTCACTGAGTCAGCTGAACCTTCCTGGGACAGGATTTCCGGGCGGATTTCGTCTGACCAAGAATCACTTGCAATGTTCCTGCGATGTTGCCAGTGTTTTGCATAAAATGGCGATGGCAGGCTTGCTCTCCGACACTTTTTTCTGCACTTTTCCACACTCAAATCCACCTTTCACCAGCTCTGCCAAGTCTGCTGCTGCACTAAACACTTCCTGGGGAATGTCTGCTAGCCTCTTGGGTGTCTTGGGCTCCGGTGGAGAGCCTCAAGTGCGACTTTAGGTGAAAAATTCCCGAGAGACTGAGTTGTAGGGCACTCGATGCTGGAATTATTGATTACCACAGGATTTTCCGTGACTTTGGGCCACTTTCTCACAACTGGTCACCAGTGATGGGCACTAGAGGAATCCGTGGCGGAGCACACATCGCACAAATGGGCATTTTCGCGTGGGAAAGGGCGACAAAAGTGCTTTTTCGCGGAGACGCCGTCAACCATCGGTGGAGTCTTTTGAGGAACTGCGACGAGGCAGGGTTGCCATGCGTGCATCACGCGCGCCATCATCGGGAATCTGCAGACTTCTCGGCGACGCCGCTGAATTGGGGTTATGTGCAGTTTGTTTACAAAATCCTGGATCATTTGTTGTGCTTTCTCTGTGGTTTTAGTTAAGACAGCACTGGAAGATGGATATGAGCTTCATCAGGGATCCCGCCACAGTGCGAGCCAGAGTGTACGTGGGCGCCTTGGCGGAGGGAACAACGCGACAGGAGATGGAGGAGTATTTCATGAAGTACGGCAATATCGTGGGAGTCGTGGTGAACAGGGGCTTCGGGTTCATCCAGTTCCAGGAGGAAGAGAGTGCTGGAATCGCCTTGAAGGATAAACACAGTATGATTCACGGGAAGAAGATATTTGTGAAGCCTGCTCAGGCTGGGGCCGGAGGACAGAAACCCGCCGCTGGCCAGAAGACAGGCGCTGTCTGGGATGCTGCAGCGTCAGTAAGTCAGGTGGAAGCTCAACCAACGGCAGTGTGGAGTAACAACTACCCAAGGAAGCCGGATTTTGGGTCCAGTTTGCTTAACATAGCGCCCATTAGTTACCCTTCCTGGATGGTTGTTCCGGGTCGGAATGATTGTGAGATTATCGTGGTGTCGAAAGCGCTGACGTTGTATGCTGAGACCATCGAGGCGCACCTGAAACGGCTAGGCTTGTCTGTAGATTTGCTGTATCCCAACGACGACGTGCCCATTGGCAAGGTACTGGGGAACATCTCTTCCAGAGGCTGCTTATACGCCGTGCTGGTGACGCCACAGAACGAGGAGCTGCGCAGCATCACCGTAAACATCCTCTATGGACAGCCGGCAGAGCACAGAAACATGCCTGTTGAGGATGCTATCAAGTTTATCGCGGAGAACTTCAGAGAGAAAATCAGAAAGGATGTTGCCGCTGCCCAGAACAACGTGCCCACCACTCAACCCATTCCTATCACGCCCGTCTCTGCTGGCTCACTCACGGACAAGCACCCGGACTCCATGCAAGCCCTGCTGCAGCTCCTGGCCGACAATAGGATGCTGACCGTGCTGCAGTACGACAAGATCATCAAGTACTTGAATGAACGTCGCGAGATGCAAATGAAAGTGGAACTGGGCGAGGAGGCACCCAACGCGGCTGACATTCTGGAGGCGCAGAAGAAGCAGCAGGAGCAGGACTTACAGCAGAAGATCCTCAGCATCCTCAACAAGCCCAGCATCACGGGAGTCGCAGACTCCAAACCGCCGCTGGCCGCTGACAATCCGCATCGCGATAACACCATCAAACTCCTGCAGGACCCCAAAGTTCAGAAGGCGCTCGACACCGTGCTGAAGAGCACCCTCCTGCAGTCCCTGGAAGTGGCGTTCTGAAACTCAGTTCTGTCAATTTGCATATTGTTTATTGGCAGGCCACTACTCATCCTTGAAATTTTTATAAAATAAACACCTAAATCAATCATGTCGTGAAGTAAACCTAAGATACAGAATCTACAAAAATTTTTATTCCTTCCTAAATCATAAAAAATGAGTTTCTCTCTCTATAATCGATAAATAGGGTCTCTAATCAGTATGCTTTTTCGAGTAAAAATATACCGGGGGCGCGCGCGCCGGGTGCCGAGGGAGTCGCGAGGATTATGGCTATCCATACTCACAATATCACATATCAGAAGCTATCGCTATCGTAGGGATTACTGTGTTCGGGTTCGGCTGTTCTCAGTTGCGTGGAATCGTCACTCCTCTCTGAAGCCGGCTCCTGTTCACTGGTGCCCGGCTCCAGCGCATTGCTGCCGCCCGCCGCACTACCAGAAGCCGCCACTGTCGCCCCCACAACACTGCTGGTGGCGTCGAAAGTCTCCCTCACCTGATTATTGGCATTCTTCGGGTCCAGATCCGTCGCCCAGCTGAAGTGCATCAGCGCCAGGTCGCCGTTGCCCAGTTTCTTGTGGATCTTCCCGATCAAGTAGTACACCACGCTCTCCTTGGGCACCAGCTCCTTCAGCTGCTCCAGCTCGCGCAGCGCCTCCTCGTACTGGCCCATCTTGAAGAACATCGTGGCACGGTGGAACTTGCACAGCGGGTCTTTGGCATCCATCTTCATCGCCTGATTGAACGTCTGCAGCGCGCGATCGTTCTGCCCTAGGTAGCTCTGCGCCACGCCAATGTGCACCATCAGCACCGAATTCCTCGGGTTGATCTTCAGCGCGCGCTGATAGTGAATCTCCGCCAGTCCGTGGCGCTCCTGCTTTGAGTAGATCGTCCCGATGCCGAACCACGCATTGTAGTGTCGCTGATTCTTCACAATCGCCGTCCTGAAGCTCGACATTGCCTTCTCCAGCTCCTCCGTGATAACAAACTCATGCCCCAGCAACGTGTAGGAGTACACAAAGTCCGGATCCACCTGCACTGCCCTCTCGAAGAACTTGATGGCAATCTCGTGCTCCTTGTGCAGCGAGAAGCAATTCCCCGCCACACACCACGGAATGGGTGAGCTCTTGTCCTGTCCCATGAGATCCTGCGCCAGTGCCGATAGCGACACCTCCCGCTGCAGCGCCCATAGCGCCGTGCTGTAGATCTCCATCAGGTGCAGTCGGTGGGGCTCCCGCTCGTGGATCTCCTTGAAGATCTTCGTCGCCCGCTCGTAGTCGCGCTGCTCGTGACACGCCAGCGCGATCATGCTCTGCACCCAGCTACTGCTATAGTGCTGCGGCGCCACGCTGGCAAAGTGCTCGATGGCCTCACGCGTGTTGTACTGACTCAATTGCAAATACCCCTGACCCAGTTCACGCAGCAACTGCAGCAGCCCCTCTGCGCTCTGGCGCCTCATCGCCATCACCTGCTGATTCAGACTCTGTGCCGCGTTGATGCTGTTGTTCAGCAGTACCTTCGTGTCCGCCGACGTCACAGTCTCCACCTTCTCCTTCTCCAGCCGCCGCTCTCCGACGCTGCCTAGGTGATCGCTCAGGCTCTGATTGATGATGGATATTCTCTGCTGCTTCGCCTTCCGCGACGGCGATCGCGGTGTGACGAACTTGTTGATATTCTGACTACTTTTGCTGTTCTCCTTCACGGAGTAGCTGCTGCTGAACAGTCTCGAGCTCCGCCGCACGCTCTGGCCCGTGATGCCGGGCGTCTGCTGCGGCCGCGTGGCGTAATTCCCCGTCTGATTATTGAGCATCGGCTTGGTCTGCTGCAGTGGGCTCTCCTTGCGACTGATCACGCACTGCCCGGCGCCCTTGCTCTTCTTTCCGCTCCCCTTCTGCTGGTCGTTCACCTCGGGCGTGCCGCTGTCCATGGGACTCTGCAGCGGCAGGACGCCGAAGCTCGGCGTGATCGGACTGATCGACGAGAGATACTTGAACTGCTTCTTTAGCGGCGTCTCCAGCTCTAAACTCCCCACGCCGCTCATGCTCAGCGACTCCGAGCCCGGCGTCAGTCTCGGTGACTCGTCCATCGTCAGCACTTTGGGCACTATCAGTCCGCCCGGCTGCATTATGCACTGGTCCACGGGCGTGGTAAGGATGCTGGTATTGGTGGTGCTAAGCAGGGGCGTGCCGCTCACATCTGCGCCCACTACCACGCAGTTACTCGTGTTCTGGCTCTGGCACGTGGCGAAGATGTCCGTGCTGCTGAACTGGAAGATTGCATTGGGATCCGGCTTCTCGCCACGGTCGCACAGGTCGGCGAACGAGTGCCACAGGAAGGGATTTAGCTTCAGGGAGCGCAATAGCGCCTCACTGGCCAGTGCCGATCGCTCAGTTTTCGTGCAAATCTTCGCAATGAGCTGCAGCGCAAAACACGCGATCTCACCAAAGTCCTTGCAGATCTCATCCAGTGTCTTTTGCTTCGTGAAGTCCTCATTTGACAGGGCAGATTCGGCAGCGTGAATCCTTAAAAGAATGAGAGTAATAAGCTCCGCTCCTTTTGAACTGGCTGCAAATCACATTTAACTGTAATCTCTTATCAACCCTCTCGAATATCCACCCCAATTAGTAAATCCTTATCAGCACTCTATCAGCACGGAAGTCCAATATGAGCAATCGGTTAAATATGCCAATTATGTACACCGAGATAAGATGCTCAGAAAGTTATTACCATTTCCGTCTGCGTCAGGGGGCAATTGGGAACACTTACTGGTTGAGCTCGAGAGCGCACTTGGAGAGGAGAAAGCGCGCCTGAGGCGTCCGGGCGCCCTTGGATTGCAGCAGCCAGAAGGCCTGATGCACTTGTCCGGAACGGTAATAGCAAGTCGCCAGCAGGAAGATGGACTCCTCGGTCTCCACTGCAAAGAAGAAACAAAGAGTGTGAGCACACGGGCTTCACACACCCGACTGCGCGTCACTCACCCTCGGAGCAGAGCTTCTCAGCCAAGAAGGTGGCATCCCGGAAGGCGTAGTGGTTCAAACAATGCCAAATGGCTGCCTGCGAAGAAAAAGTGACTCCATCAGTTTGGACAGTTGTGCTGCGTCGGCCGTTGGGCAATCCAGCCCAGAAATTCACCTGGGCGGTGGGTGACCCAATTACCGCGGGCCCCCCACTGGCCGAACGACGAGGCGGGGGGCGCTAGAGTGGGCTTTTCACTTCCATCCCGCAGAAAAATCGATTGCGACTGCCATTTGAGGCGACCAACTAACCTGAATAGGCTCCTGAATAATCATCCTTTTAGCGGGTTCTCACGATGTCTGGGCAGCTCAAGTATACACAACACCATTCACCATCCGTCCATGCTTCAGCACAACACAATTTCACTGGGATGGAGATGCGCTTTCCTACTGAAAATTCACTGAAAAATATGCAAATGCGATTGCAAAGCAGAAGAGATGCGACAGTGCTGCCTCAAATGTCATCCGTGTTGGCGGCAGGGTTGGGCAGCACACTCGCGCTTTGTAGACTTCTTTTGGAGACTTGTCCGGCAGTCCGAAAAGTCACATCATCGCAGTGTTTTGCTGCGTTTGCTGACTCCTCGAGGGATCCTTGGAAATGGACTGTAGTGTTCTTCCTCCAGAACTCACGGCCACGCCGCTGCCTCTTGTGGGCTTCTGTGGTCTGGACCCGGGCAAAAACACCGTGCATAAGTCCATCTGGGACGCCTTCAACAACAACAGGAAGAATGACAGGTAAGATCATCAGCTAGGATTTTCCATCCAAAACCCAGACTTTTATAATTTTCATGCCTTTCTCTGGTTATCTCAAAGGCTCCAGCTGCAGTTCAAGCTCATTCCGGCTAACTATGAGTTTCCAGTGTCGAAGCCCAAGCGCCAATCCTACGAGTGGTATCATCCGAAGGGGATTCTCAAGAGGAACTGGATCCTGAAGCACCTCCACATTCTGCCAGCAGTGATGGTGTCTTTTCACAGTATCGAGCTGAGCGATCCGTCGTGGTCAGAGAAGCAACTTCAGTGTACATCGGCAATTCAGGGCCTCAGAAGCTCCCTCCAAGTAAGACGTTCATAAGATTCAGAGGTGATCTTTACAGAGCATGGGAGATCTTCATCAGTGAGATTTTAAGCGATTTTCGCTTGGGAAAAGGGTTTTTCAAAGGAAATTAATGAGCTTCCGGAATTAGAGACCGCAGATTCGGAAGAAGTGATTCGTAATTTTTAAATCTCATGTCGGTTGGAAGAGTTTATTTATGGGCGGAGCATCGAAATGGGTGTGGTTATTTATCTTATTCACGAATGTCCTTTCTTTTTAGGGTCGCTTGACACGCTTAGCCATTGTCCTGATTCAAACTGGCTCCACACGAGGCGCTGGAGATGAGCTCGTGACGACTGAGCGGATCAGCAATCTCGCCTCTACTTGTGACATCAGTGCTAAGATGATCTTCGTCCTGAATCACTCTGACCACCTCATGGGACACATTTTGCGTCTGGAGTCCGCCTTTCTGGACGTTGCCCAGTCCTACTATACGCAGATCATCAAGCAAGTGAAGATGCACCGCGATCAGCTGTCGGCCAACCATCAAGTGCTCAAGATTCGCCACCAGTTTAAGTTGGGCTTCATGTCAGAGATGCTGCACGACTACACCACTGCGCTGAAGTACTACACGCAAGCTTATGTGACGCTGGAGGACATTCGCGTGGTGGACACGAACTGCACGGAGATCAAAACGGTTGCGGGATTTCTTAACTACAAGAGAAGCCGTCTTATGTTCAAGATGAATGTTCCCAGAGACGCAATAACGCAGTTTAACTCGCACATTGAGCAGTACAAGGCGAAGCCCGGAAGTCGAGAATTGCTGTTCGAGCACTACGGATGGCTATGTGTGCAGTACAGCTCATTTGGGGATCTGTTCTGCGATGCCATCAAGGGTGGATTGCCAGCTCTGCAGACGCAACATCCAGGAATCTATTACTTCCGTGCGGCAGAATTTACAAACAAGCGAAAAGAGGCATTTCTGAACTGCTGCAAGTGGACAACTGTGCAGCCGGTGGACAAGAGCAGTGGAAATATTCTCTACAGCGACTTCTTCGGCGTGCGAGGGAATAAGACGGGAGAAATGGTGAATGAGCAGAACATTTTGAACTATTTGTACGCCAATGAGAAGGAGTTCAACCATTCCGCAGCCATTATTAGCTATCTAGGCCAGGCAATGGCTCAGTATAAAGTCTACAAGTGTCTGAGATTCCGCAAGAAACTGGCTGTGAACATGGCTGAGGAGTATCTGAAGAGTGGTGATCACGCCAAAGCTCTCACGTGAGTAGATATTCTTATAATCTTTTGTGTTTCTTGTGAAACTCACATCATTGTTTGCTTTCAGGCTATTTTCCCTGATGCTGAGCGACTATCGAGCGGACAAGTGGTACAAGATCTTCACGGAAGTGCTGATGAAGACATTCCAGTCTGCGTACTTCTCAGCTTCCGTGCCGGATTTCGTGTCGTGCAGCATTGAAGCGATGTCGCCTCGAATTCTCTCCTCGAAGACAGACCGGATATTCATTCTTGAGAATCTGTGGCGAGTGTTCCAAGGAGTCGTGCCCATTTCCAATTATCCAGCAGGTGTGGATGTGAAACAAGCCTGGGAGCATGCTTTAGAGAAGTTCACAGAGCCAGTGATCATTGATTTGGACAAAATCAGTGATCTCTTCGTCTGTGACGTGTCCTTCCTGGAGAATCAAGCGGTGTTTGACGAGGAGATTACCATTGAGCTGCGGATAAAATCTCTGACTGAGGTTCCATTGAAGATCAGGGGCATTTCTGTGGTTCTGAATAGCCCAAAGTTGAATGTGAAGCTGAAGGCAAAGAAGGTTTATCAGGCTGGAGAGGAAAAGCGCGATGCTGAACTGATGATTTTGTCAGAAACTCCTTACAAAGCTGTTTTTACTGCTGATTCGCGGCAATTCACGGAGAATGATAAACTCTCCATTGGCAGAGTGGAGTTCCAAATTGGAACCGATAAGAGATTTGCGGTTCTCCTCAAGTCCACGACTCTGAATCAGCAGCAGATTTTCAAGACTAAAACATCCCGTTCTGATCTCTCGAAGGATGTTAATTCGAGCTGTTATATCGTTCCAACGTGAGTATTTAAGGGAGAGATTTATGATGATTTGTCTCTAATTTGTATTCAATTTTAGTTATCAAATGGCTGCACAGGTGAATCTGAGTGACGAACCAATGCTGATGAATGAATTCTATCGCATTGTTATCAATCTCTGCAACAATGTTGACTCTTGCATAGAAGATGTTGGTGTTTCTGTTACTGTTCCGACTCATCTGAAGAACAAAGGTGTGTTAAATAATTCTTTCTTAATATCTCTTTGTTATTGAAAAGAGTGTTTTCTTGGCAGTTTTCCTCACCACGGACATCAGTGAGCCCAAGAAGACTCTTTACTCAACAATTCAGATTGATGTGGGCTCCAAAGCTCTTCAGTCCTCAACATCGATCGTTTACTACGTGATTAGTCTAACGAGAGGCAACATTGAATTGAACCAGAAGACTTGGTATCAATTGACTTACTTGGGCGACGGCACAAGAGAGCCTGGAGACTTTTCTGGCGAGAAATTCGTGCCCTTCGACACTGAATCGCCCACGCATCAGAAGAGTATCGAGAAGATCGGTGAAAGTTCTGCGAATCACAATATCAAGATCGAGTACGGTGAGAAGTGCGTGAAGAAGACCAAAGAGGACACAATTATGATACCATGTCAGGATGAAATTCAATTGACAGCGACATTTTACACGCTGAATCGAAAGGTATTGTTCAAGGCGTATCAAGATGAGGATTTCATTCTAAGGATTCAGATGGAAGTGAAGGCGACGTGTGATATTGATATACTGGAAACAACTCTGATCACAGTGAGTTTTTCAATCTTTTCCTCCTAATTAGACACTCTTCACATTCTGTGGTAATGCGAATTTATATCTCTTTTCCCAGGCGGACAATATTAAAATCAGGGATTCAGTTAAATACCCCAAAATTAGCGGTAAATCCCTGAAATGCGGTGCTCGTCTCGAGGATTCCAAGATAATTTCGGTGCAAAACAAAAAAGATGACTTGGCAATACTAATGCGGTACATGAGCATTAATCATCCCTCAGTGTGAGTAGGATTTTTCTACCGGACGCGTACTTTTTGTGGCTTTTCCACCCTCTGTTTTTTCGCTCTGCTGTCTCAAAGAGACTCCGGTTTCCCGCCTAATTGAGGCAATTTTGCGGAATATGACTGTACATGTTTATTACCCGTTTCTCTGCACAGGGCGAAGCCAGAGAAAGCGAGCGACAAGTTCAAGAGTGCAATTCCAGCTGCAAAGGAGACGCCCGGGCAAATCTCCGCCGCGACAGCCATTAAATCCATCTATGGCAAGAGCGCCGAGGCGAAGGTGCAGGACAAAGACGTGGCAAATGAGGCAGGAAGCGAACCGCTGGGGGTGTACGTCGTGAGGTGGAGGCGCACCAATTCGGAGATGGTGAATGAATCGAAATTCAGCATCAGTGGATTGGGTAATTATTTGACAGCATTTTCTTTTATGTCTTCCCATAACACCCATTTTCTGGGCGCTTCTCTATTATTTTTCCATTTTTCCACCCTCATTGCCACCATACTCATTTGGCATTCTCAAATGCTGCGGTGGGTCTTCAGTCAAGGGGTGTGTCAGCAGAAGGACTCGCGTTCTGGGTATTATTTTGCGCTTCAAGACGCATTGCAGTTCAATGAAATACAATATTTTATATACAATCTTTACTTTTTGCTGGAAATCATATTGTTTTGGATCTACATGAAGTTTTCTCGGAGATTTAGGGCACTGTAGTGTAAAAACTTTCACTTCAGTCATTTAGAGGCAAAGTTCATCATTGCCGAAGCATTTCATGCTTGGAAATCCAGTCCTCAATATGTGGGAATCAATACCAATTTTAACGATAAGTCTTAGAATTGTTTTACTTCCTTCGATTCGAGCGTTGATAAACTAGATTTTAACTTTTAAAATCACCTTCATTAGCTTCTCCAACTGAAAGATGATTTATTTAACTTTGTTTTGATCAATGACTTGTCCATCTTCAGTTATCGATTGTTCGGGTTTTTTTTTTCAATAAACTTCAATGTCACTTGTTTTCAGCTCATCCAAGTCCATTCATTATGTTTTCTTCTAATTTTATGTTCCTTTTTTAATTGGACAGTTTTTTGTTCACAAATTGAATCCTTTACTAGATAATAGAATGTCGAGGCGAGAAAATCAAAGAGATTTTCTAGTGAGATAAGTTGAAAATAATTGAATTTTAGCTCAATTGAGAAGACAAAATTGAATTTAGGAAATTAGCAAAAGACACTCAGTTGGGAAATAACGCACCCCTTTTCGTCCTTCCAACGTGAGTTGCTGTGAAAAACACGAAGAGTTTCACGAGGGGAGAAAATTGCGCGAGAAAAATAACGACAACTCGGGTGATTTCTCTTTTTTCTTCCTTCATTCTCGTCACTGTGGTGCTGAAAAACAAGTGACGAGGGGTTGAGTGGAAAAAATGAGAGCCAGCGAAGCTCCTCCTTTTGCCATGCGACCCCTCATTATGCTTTTTTTTCCTTCTTCTCCACTATATTCAAAATAGCACTGATGTCATTATTTGCAGTGCTCAACTGCGTTCACATAATTCAAAGCCCACCCCCTTTTTGTGCTCCGCTGCCCGTGCGTTCAGCAGGAATCTCGCTCTGCCCGCCTCTTTGGGCTTCGGCTTAGCGTCGTGAGGGTGAGTGGTGGAATGGGGCGCGCCTATGTGTGCCTCTCTCGCGAGGAATTCTCGAGGGATTTTTTCCTATAAGACAATCTCTCGAGCGAGACAAAAATCCCACTGGGACGCTAAAAGCGAAGCGTCTATGAATTTTTATGTGTCTTTTGGATTGGGAGGATTTTCACGAGATGTGTTGTGGAATTATTGAGATATTTCTCGATGACGATGAGTCCATTTCGGATGGGATATAAAATTCACACTCCAGAGAGTAATTTTGGGGGGTGGAAGTAAAAAAAAACACCCATGAGATGAGGAAACATTTTTCTAATTAAATAAACTTTTCTCTCCCACTTGAAAAAATGATATAAAATTCCACGCGAAGCAGAAAAAAACCCTCACTAATTAATATCTCAAACATTTGCTTATGAATTATTCTCTGTGTATTGCAAAAGTATTTTTCTGTCTGCTCAAATATTATTCTGCAGAGGGAAAAGAGGGAGAAACTCAATGGTTATTTAGTATTTTGATAAAAACATTTGTGTGTACAAAATAATTGCTGCAATTGACGTGTGCTAATTAATCAACAATGAATCAGTTTTGCAGGGTAAATTCGCGGCAATTCATTGCAGATTCATCACATGCTACTGCTAAATATTGTGTTTTTTTGCTACTGAAGTTACATAATAAATTGTTTCTGTCTTTATTTTTCTGAAGGGTGGAAAATGTCGAAAAAAAATTGTCGCAATACTTTTTGTAATTAAAATGCGAACTCTTTAGGAGGACATATCCTCTCAAATGGCGAATAATAGTTAAGGAATGAATGGTGCTTTGAGGGAAATGTTGTGAGAAAGTTGTTGGGAAATTAATTTGACGGAGCGTGAATAAATTCATGGGATTTTTATGTGATATTGCAGAATATAAAGCGCTCGCTGTCGCCCTTGCGAGCTGAAGAATTCTCTTGCAATTCACCATGGTGTTTTTTGTGCGCCTTTCTTGTCATTTTAACTCTTAAATCTTCATGTAAATGATGCTCGGGACAATTTTCCACCCGTGATATTCTCCCCTATTTGAGCGGTGTAAACACACGTGGAGAAAAAATTAAATGTCTCAGGCAATTGTGTACCTTGAAAAGTGTCTCTTCTTTTGCCATCGGCATTGGGGAGACTCTTTGGCAAACACAGTGCCAACAATTTTCTGTCTGGGAACATTTTGAAAGGCGCGCATATGAAAGGATGGTGCGGGAAAAATTGTCTGTCCACTTTTTTGCACCAGAGAGACATCCTTTCAGGTATTCCTTCATTGCCGGCAATGAGTGTTGAGTGGTGGAAAAAAATCATCTGCATATATTTATCTTTTATCCTCTATTTTGCATGTGAGACAAAGGCGAGAGAAGACTTTCTTTCACATCGCCCAGAGTTTGATGGTTAAAAATTCACACTGCACTGTCTCGTTTTGGTGCTGCACAAGAGAGCGCTATAATGTCTTTCTAAATGCAAGAAATTTTCACTCATTGCAGAAGTCATTGAGCCAAAGTTGAATATTTACTGCTTCATCCTGGAGAAAGTGCATGTTCGTGTTCCCTTCGAATTGAGAATACAATTGAAGAATCCGGGGAGTAAAATTCTCAGCTTACAGGCGACACTCGACAATTCCGACAGTTTCATGTTCTCCGGCCATCGTCAGGTGAGTGTCGATCGATAAAGTGGAATGGAAGAGACATGGAATGAAGGATGAGAGAGAAAATGTATATTTGGCGTGTATTTGTGTGTGTCCATCAATTGAATATTAATTGTTTTGTTTCCACATCTCTTCCTCTCTTTGCAGCTCAATGTCTCAATTTTTTCATATGCCACTCACGATTTAATTTTCATCCTGTATCCACTGAAATCGGGCTGGCAATCAATTCCCCAATTATTTTTGAAGTACCTCACTGGCGGGAGTGACGGCGCCAAGGAGGAAATTACTCAGTCAGAGCTCAATCTCTATGTGCAGCGCTGGATGCCGAAGCGAGTGTTTGTCCATGTGAGTATTTTTGTTTTTGCCTCTGCATTTTAGGGGAGATTTCCTGTCAGAGTGACCAGACATATTGAGTGTCCCCAAAATGAAGCGTGAATATTTATGACCCGAATTTTACGAGAAGAGCAATGAAAGCTTGCAAATTTTCCTACTTTTTAGCCTAAAATTCATAACTTCATCACAAATGCAACAATTTCGGTAAGTAATTAGTTTATTCGATGATCTCTTAAGTTGAATGCCAAAGCTCTAACGTTAGAAGACGATATAAGTATCCGCTATGTTAAACTTCGCAATTTGACGTCGTTTTCTTAAACTAGAGCTCTTTAACGTATTTATTTTATTGAAAAGATTGTACACTAATATTATTTCTATATTAAAATTCGCTGAATTACTTGATTATTTGTGTTCAGAAAAGAACTTTGTGATGTTTGAAAGCTCATCTTTTGCTATTGAAGATGGAAAATGAAGAGAAATGTTTCTAGTTGATCCCAAAACTAGTGAAATTTTGTGAATCAGATGACCAGCTTAATCAGGATCCCGAAGAATCCTACTGAGAATAACAACTCTGGTCACTCTGGACACCCCTAAATTATTTATTAATTTGCTGTGTGTCATTTTAAAATTCCACTGCAGTGTTTTATATCCGTGATATTATTTCTCCAACAGCCACCCCATCGAGTTCTCGGGTAGGGTGTGAAGTCCCGGAGCCAGAGCCTGTGCCGCAAATCCCCCGTGAATCCACGAGGATGGGATTGAGAGACAGTGACATGGAGCCTTTTATCGTATTGTCCAAATACAGAGATTTCTCCCAAACAGTCTGTGTGAGGCGTGTAAGTGTTTATTAATTGGGGCTGTGCGCGCGAGAGGGTGGGAAATGTGGGCAATATGGATTATTTCCATTGTGTATTTTGGCAAACATTTCATCTCCCATTTTTTCCTGGCTCTCTTGCAATTAATTGAAAGGGATTTGGCTGGATGTGTATCAGGAAAAATGCAAATATGCAATTAATAGCGAAAAGGGTGAGTTTGCTCAATGCGAGGTTAAATATTTATTTTCTTTCCCTTTTTCCGGGCTAAAAAACAAACTCTCTGGGCGAGAATGTGACGCGCATTGTGCGGCAATTGAAAAGCATCATGGCTGCCGAATGTTGTGAAAAGTGCGCGCAATTTTTTCCCGTGGTGGGAGAGACTTTTTTCCCACTTTGTGTGTGTATGTGTGTGCACCCTCGCGTTTTTCGCCACTTTTTTCCACCCCTAGGCGTCGCGAGGGTTTCCCTGTGCTTGATTGTGTGTGCGCGCCTTGGTGGCCATATTGGTTTTCAGTTAACTCCCCCGAAAACGGCGAAGCGGCAAGATATTTCCAGTGTGTGTATAATTCATATTCAAATTGGGTTTTCGCGCTCTGGGCGGGAGACGAAAGGGCGCGTTCCAGGACGAAGACGCAAGCGGAGGAGGGTGGCTAATGGCGACCGCACGCGAGGGATGAGGTTTCTGCCATCAATACCTCACCCTCTCGGCACGCAATGGAAAATTTTTCTGCAGCCATGTTTCAGCGCAGCGTTTGCTTTTTTTCAGATCGTCGCTATTGCGGGCGGAAAAGCGGAAAATTGTCTACTTGGCGAAATTGTGAAGTGGAAGTATTTCTTTTTGATGCTTTCAGGCTGTTAAGGAAAATGTTTTGAGATTGAGATTTAATGCAATTTTCCTTAAAATGACGAATTTGAATGTCATTTCATTGACGAATCTTGAGAATCTCAGACACTCTTGGGCGAGTCAAGTCTCACTGCGACTTTTTAATACAAAGACGCTCTCAAGAAACGATGTTGAAGAGGGAAATTTCTTTTCTTCTCTTCCATCATAGTTTGAAAAGTCAATTTTCTTCAGAATTTTAATTAATTCTCATCCCAGACATTTCATGTTCGCGCAATGAGAGATTTTTCCATGGTTTTTTTCTCACTTTTCCGGGGAGATTTCAATTTCTCAGAAAAATGAAGCTTTTCCACCGCAAAAGAATACACCATAACCATGTAATTATTTCTCAAGGCAGGAACATTAATTAGTCCTTGCACAATTTTTTCCCCTTCTAATTAATCTAATTATCACTCGATGCAGCATTTCAGAGATGTTCTGCAGTGATTCCGTGCGGAAATCTGAGGGAGAAAAGTCCATTCGGGATAAAGTTTTAATTTGTACGTATTTCGTTCCATTGGGCTAATTTATCAAGGCGAAAGTTTGTGCGATTCTCGAAGAAAGTATCTGGCTTTTGCCACTGTGAGCTTTGTGCCAAATATTTTCGCGCAAGATAACAATGTTAAACTTTCTGTGTGTGCCTTCCAGAGCAGTGAGAATGAGGTTTTCCGCTCATAATTTATGGCTGCTTCATCAATCTTTTTGTGTTTTTCCGGTTTTTCCAGAAGTAAATCTTCTGAAATGCGCTGCATGAAGAGTGCTAAAGATCTTCACATACATTTTAAGTGTCTTTGAGTGTGAAGTTTAGTCTATGTAAAATCTAGTCATTCTCGTGAAAATCACTCTATTCTTCCAATTTTTTGCTTTCTGCATAACTTTTGCCGAAGTGTTTTATTGTGTTTTCACTTCTAAGTAATTAATCGACAGTCATAGAGTATATAAAATCTGTCTCAGTGCAATTGAAAAATGAATAAAGTGATTAGCATTCTGGGTAATACTGAGTCTTGAAAGTAGATGAATATTTTTTTTATCCTCTTGTAGATTCTAGAACATCGCATCCTTCCATTTCCATCAATTACTGTGCTGTCTAACGTCGTGAAGGTCTATAATTGGGAAGAAAAATTACACGGGAACGAAGATGGTTGGCTGCGGAGATGCAAAATCAATTAAAAAAGTACTTGCTTTTAATTGAGAAGTTGTGGATGAGAAATTTGTGCGCTTTTCCGCTCTCTCGCATTATTAAATTCATGGCGGATGGATGTGCGGAGAAAAAATTAATTATAATTTAATAATCTCTCGGTCTATCTTTCAGAAGACGCAAAAGGGACCCGAGAGGCGGTCAGAGCGTCATAATGATATGTAAAGACGGTCTGAGGAGGGTTTCGTTGGGGGCGCGATAAGGCGGGTGAGAGAGAGACTTTATGTGTGTGCTTTTAATTTTCATCAAAAATTGCAGAGGGAAAGAATTTTCACCCTCACTGGGGTGTATTTTTTCCTTCGTCTCTACAGGGAAAAGCCACCCTCTGTGTGCGTATTAAATTTCCTTCTTCGCGACGCAGAGAATCAAAAAATCGCTCCGCCCTCCAATTGCAAATGAGTTATAAACTCACCCTCGTTCGCGAGGGGGTGGCGAGGTCGGGGAGGCTACGTGAACTTTCTGCATTTGACTAACCCCTCGTTGAGCACACAATCTCGTCGTTTTTTTTCCCTCGGCTTTTTTCCATCCCTAATGAAATATCTTACAAGAGAGTTTCACTTGAATTTCGCTGATTATACACAATATTCTCTTAAGGCTAATGGCCACCGAGACTCACCCTCGCGCGAGGGTGGGAAAACCACCCCGTGGGTGGGAAGGGGAAGTCACGCAAGGCTGGCGTTGCCATGCTGAAAGTCATGGCCACGGCACAATCGACAAATGGAAGATTTATTTCATTCCATCCTATGCAATTTACAAGCTAATAAAATTTATCATTTATTTAATTAATTCCACCCTCATGTCAGATCTCATCTGAGGGTGTGCCGATTCATCGACAGTCTGTCCACATTTGCCAACCATCTTTCGCTTTGTGCTGCCTGAAAAGTTAATTGATACAAGATTTTCCGCATAGGCTAAAATATTCCAGCCAGGAAATCACAGTGTGAATTTATTAATTATCTTTTAGGCGGGATTTGTAGGATTGCGTCTGAAATTGAGGAAATGACTCATTGAAATTTCACCCACAATTTGAGATGTAATTTATGTTGAATATTTTGCGGAAATGTGCTCTAGGCCCAATAAGTCTCGATCATTGCATATTTATAGAATTTACACAGAAATCTTCTTGGGCAACGCCTGCAAATTAACACTAGAGATTAATTGCGAAATGAAAGAGATGGTCTGATTTGATGAATTTGGCTGAATTTGGGTATTTTTCTTACCTGTTAGTAGCCGTGATGCCAGACAGCTGGCGGCGAGTGGGTAAAAAACGCATTTGAAAGCGCTAAAATTGGTCACAGGGATTTCAGGGTCCGTCGCGGGACAAAAGGGACTGCTTGCGTCTCTTCCTGGCCATATGCACAATTGAAAGGAGCACTTTTTTGGCCCACATTCCCCGTGAATTATCCTCGGAGATCTCAATTGTTGGTCTCGCCAATGCAAATGAACATAGGCAAGCGCGCAACCCTTTGACCCCTGGACAGATGCGATAGAGATTCGGGGATTTTTGGTGGCGCACACACACAGGCACTCGATGAGAGCACTTTTGGTGGACCACGGACTCACTATGGAATGATGGAGTGGTCGGAAACCGCAGCTGCTTCTCATTTGAATACTCTATCTGATGCCCAACATCCTTTTTCCGCTGATTGTGGCTGGTCCTCCATTCAATTTCGCCCGTCCGCATTTTCACGATGAATCCTTGACTTTCCACTCTTTCTGCCCGGCAGCTGCTGACTCGTGATTTATGCCTTCCAGCACTCTCGTCGTCTGATTTATGCTGAATTGACCATTTTTCTCGGGACTTTGTCCCGAGAATAGAAAATTGCGACAGCGGGATTTTCCATCTTCCAATTCTCAGCGAGGAATGACTGTAAAATGGTCGCGCCGAAGGCTTTTCAAATCATCTAAATAATTAATAAATTAATAATGTAGATGAGAATTAACATTGTAATAGAATATTTGAGTTTTGTTAAACGTTTAATCACATTTGCCAATTTTGCAATTTTTGAACGTTTAGAATTAGAATCATATATTGAGTCATGATTTCGTGTAGTCATGAAAATCCTTAGCAATTCAAACTTCACGTTTTCTTAATATGTTTCTTCTGACACATTTGATTTAACTGCAATTTATTCTACAAAAGTGAAATAATTGAAGAACACTTGTCGCCATTTCATCGACCATAAGCTTCTATTGCAACTCAAACGATCAACCGTCCAAATGGTTGCTCTTGAGTGAAATGCGCATTTCTCTTTCGCTAATAAATTGAAGTGGAAACTGATGACACCCCATTTCATTTATAGAACATGTTTTGTTAAGTTTTTTCGCCTCCTTCTCATCCTCCATAAAGCACTCGCAATTGTTTCTTAACCCTCCTTTCGGGCTCTTATTTTCGTGGGCCAGCAAAAAAGACCCCTGACAAATGTGTGAATAAATTTCATTGCATTCGAAATGGTGAGAATTGTAAATCACGAGAATAATCTGCGATTTTGTCGTGTTAGAGCTTCTCGGGTGAAAATGGAGGATTCAATGTGGATTTCCAGGCTTTCGCGCTGCGCCTTGGCTGAGAGTTGTGTTAATTTTTTCATCATTATCCCAGGGTGAATTATTATGTGATTGCCGAAAGCAGTTGACTCTCTTTCAAGCGGGGAAAATTTAATCATATATTCCTTGTATGAATACATCAAATGCGACACAGGAGCGCTCAATTAGAAACAGCACTCTGCAACTATTGTCCTTTGAGCCACCGCGGCTCCCCGAAAAAAATGCAATATTGTGCGCGGATGGCGCAAAAAAGTCGGCCTAAATACAATTGAAAGAGGTGAATAATTCCATTTTGTCTCATTCACCATTTCATTTTTCACTGCAACAATCACCGTTTTACCCATTTTTTCTACTTGTTAAATTTAATATCAACTTTTTTCCG